CTGCATTTTCCCTACATAGATTTGGTTCAGTCTCGGCCGCTTCTATAATTAAAACAAAATGAACGAATACTTAAATACCGTAACACAATAATTTATGACCCGCGTCCATTATTACGACACCATAAACTGCAAAAAGTGAAATCATCCCATGCTACATTAACTTAAGAACGTTTTCCATTTACACCCTATTAAATTTAATCTCCGAAAGGCGCTAAAGCTTGACTTCGTCCTTCAGAATAAAGACATTTTAACAAGCTTGAAGTCAAAATAACATCGTAGGTTGGAATGCAGAAAAGTAAAACGATTTTGTAATATTTAGATCACATAAAAGTGAAAAACTAGATATTGAGAACGATGAAACGAGAATTGAGAACAGTGAGGAGAACTTTGTTTATAACCGAATATTCTCCGCGTTGAATTTGTGTATTTATATACTGCCAACGCCTTTATTTCCCGTTAAAATACCTTGAAGACACCCCACACATATGAACATGATGTGGAAATGGAATAAATTACACAATCTGTCACTTAACTCAAAATTTTATGAATTTTTAAAGGTTCAGCCTCTAACATCTTTGCTATCCATATCAAATGGAAGACGCAAGCGAGAGTTATCAAATATATTTGACAAGATTATCAAGACCACGAGGTAATCTGTTTGTGGAGAGTGCTACTATCGTGCCAAAACATAATGGTCCATTAGCTTCTCAGTAGAGACAAATGCAAGAGGATTCAGAAGATTGATAATATTTAAAAGTAACTAGTCAGTACCAACACTGAAAAAAATTATATCAAAATAAATTTCTACGCAAAATTCCTAGCATTTGCAGCGACTTTTACACGAGATAATTGTCTCGTGAAATTCATGGAAAGAAATCAAAGTGTCAAAAGTGAAATTACGTTGTTAATTATTTTCTAGTAATGTCAAAACACGGAAATCGGTGGACGGGTGATGTAATTTATTAGCAACATTGTCACATGACTAGACCAGACGATTGATGATCGGAAACTACACACTTGGAACCAAAACAGTCGTTATTTGTGTTTGAGGTCATTGATATCGTATTTTACAAATGTATTCTCCGTTAGGATATTTCCATTATAATTAAAGTGCCTAAGATGGTGGTAACGTATAATTGTTGAATAGGTATTATAAAAATTTTATGAAGTTAATTTAGTTCCCACTAATTCGAAAATACTTCTCAAAGTAAATATTCTCAGGTGTTGTGTGGATCTGAAAGTGTCAGAAGTTTAGAACTTAATATTTGTAATCTGAGCAACACGTCTGCGGTAATTTACGTACAGCTATTACAAATACTTCCTAGATCAAAGGATTGCTGCAGAGAAAAGCTTTTATAATTGCGTAGTTAATGTTTCTTGAAAGAGAGCTATTTATTTTTATCTGCAATGTACCTACCCGCTAAGGATCAAAGAAACTAATCGAAATGAACAACGCCTGCTATGATGAGAAACTACGTTATACACATGGCAACAGAAATAGGATACGCGTTGTTACATGCATAAGATTTATTTCGGTGACAGGGAAAACTGTATTTTTATAGATTTGGCATAATAAAAAGACGTATAAAAATAGTCTCGCTCGAATTTAAACGATCGATATAAATCATATGGACCAGCTGAGTTCATAGCATTTGACGAATACGAGTTACGATATAACAGCCAGAAATACACCGCATCTATTGTTTCGGTGACGTCAACCAGCGAGGTGAACGCCGCTAAAATGACGACATGGGATATTATCACATAAAAATATATTACATATTTTCTTTTATTAAAAAATATACTAGAATCAGTTGTCCATTTTATCCATTTTCTGAAACTGTTTTTGGTTTGCCACAATTTACCTAGTTATCTAAAATTCAATATTCTCAGACAACCCGTTTCTGCAAGCTTTTGTTCCAAGTGGTACATTATTTGAAACAGTGTTCCTGACCGAATATATTAGTCAGAAGCTTACAATTGACTCATGATTTATTTCAAGAAATTGTTTCCGTCGCGAAGAACAGAAGTACGGCGTAACTCCACGGCCCATTGAGAGATCGACTGTGCTATGTATAACGTTTTCAACGACTTCTCACTCAACGCAACATTTTAGGACACCCTCAGCTAAATACAATACTAACAGGTGTCAGTAAACTATAATGAGTGTCACGGGGCGACGCGGCCCAATGACACAATGACGCGATAATTGCAAACTGGAAAATGTAATTAGTGCATCTCAATGCAATAAGTTATTCATTTCATGACCGTAGATTTCGGATTTTACTCCGACTTACAAGATTAATGACACTCTTATGGACTTCGTACTTAAATGACTTTCTTTAGACGGATAAGATGTGTACATGACGTATTTAGGGCTCGTACACAAAACTGCGATGCGATGCGATGAGAATTCGTAACGCAAAAAATTACGATGCGAATTGCTGCGATGCGATTTCGTGCGACAAGGCTTCTCTCAGGGTGATTCCTTCGACGACCGTCAACCGTACTAACCGTATTTTAAATTGAAAACTAGGTCATGATATGGATCGTAAAAAGAAGTGTGCACTTCAATTATTCCTTAGGAGATACAGGAAAAAGAAACAAAGAAGATTTTGATTAGAATCAATTCGCAAGTTCTTGCGATGCGTAGATGGAGCTGGCACATTTTTGCGATGCGACGTCGCATTGCAGTTTTGTGTACGAGCACTTACTTGAGGAAGACTTTCACAAATATTACTTTAAAAAAATCAACTCTATTTTCCACTGAAAACTCAGTTACGTATGTAGTCTAAACTCTTGTCAAACAGAGCAGCTTTCTAATATAACGTAGCCACAACATTTGTCAGTTTCTTTTCCCTGCTAAAAACGTCATGAACAGGTGCCTTAACTGTCACGTAGTCAAATGACCCAATAAATAACAATACGCGGTCATTGCGTAGAGTAGCGTAATTAGTAAGGATTAGCGCATTACGAAAGTATTCGAGAGCCAAGATCCGTAGGAACAAAACATTAACATGTAATTATAACGTCTAATTGATGATTTACACTGCGAAAAGTACTGTAAACATTTCTAGTTAAAACGTGTTTATTTTTTACGATTTCATGATATTGGTTTGGAATTAGCAATTCCAACAGATGTCGCCCTACTTAAAACAAGTACAAATGTGGATATAAACTATTTGGACTTGCTCAAAAATTGTCCAGCCTTATAGGAGTACACACGAAAAAAGATATAAAGACAGATAAAATATTAATATTAATATGACAAATCCAATGATATATTGTAAACAACAAAGTCATAATTTCACTCGTCCCCTCTAGTGTGGGCAACCAACTCGGATGATTAAAAAAATCTACATCCATTACTCGTCTACGCCGTAAGACTAATTAAAATATTGAAATAAGACGTCAATGGTGGCAAATGTACCAAATCTATCTTAACATAAGTAACAAAAATAAATAACAATAACTTCACCTGAAGACGGTAATTTCTTAAAAAGTTAATGTGTCCACGTTCATCACTGTGACAGGTTGTCACCGGTCAACAACCGATGAACAAAACATGAATATTTTTGTTCCACATAATTTATTCCCAGACCCACTTGTACAGTTGAAATTTAGAAAAGTCATTAGACTGTACCTCCCATTCATAAAGAACTGGTCTCATAGTAGATGTACCTAATGGTTTCCGTGAAAGAAAAAGCTAATATTGCTAGGACACCGACGGTCAAAACCATTCCGCCACCTACAAAAAGATGTGACGTACTCTTAGAAAGTATTTGTAGACTAATATATTAAACAACCTGAATAAACAAAATGGTACTGCTGCACTTTCACGTCTCACATTCAACATTTCGTATCCAAACAAGACGAGATTAGTCCAAGGATAATAAAATTAATAACTGGTGACTAACAGGATTCATTAAAATAAATTGCCGTACGTGTCCAAACGTAGCTATTTTCAAGTTTCTCATGACGCATAATGACGAACGTGGTCATATCTTAATGACTATTTTAGTTCATTACGTGGGCTTCATCTATGGCGATCTGTGTTTTGATTGAGTATGGAATCGGTGTTTCAAAGACCTAATTACCTTAAAAAAGTATCGTACACTAACACATCCATCATCCACTATATGTGAATCTATCAGAAAGGAGCAAAACTTAAAGAGGTTTATGTCACCGACATGTAAACTCTTCCTTTAGCATCACCATAATTATGTCAATTGCCGCTGAAATACGAAGGAGATGTTTTCACATTATTTCCGTCTCTCTATTTATCAACAAAGTTTCGAAACAGTGTTAATCTAACGAACACATCGATATCCACCTACTATGGCGCTATCGTCACTTCACTATAAATAACATAACATTTCGAGCGATTCCACCCACACCACACCACGAGTACCACACCACTCGCTAAACAAAGATTTTATACAAACGTCTTACATTTTTACATAGACTACACGATGCATACCTAATATTAGTTTTATCCATTCAGCTTGAACAATAGGTAACAGCTTAAAACTATTTTCTAGTCTTAGCGTAGCATTTTGTGTTTCAAACAGGTATAATGATCATCATTTTGATATTACCCTTATCTCACTTTACTTGAAGTCCGTGATCTATGTCTTCTCCTTCCATTCTCCCCTATCACAAGTCACATTACAAATACCTTTTCCTTTCAAATCGTTCCTCACAATCTGTCCATATTTTCTTTGTCTTTTCTTCCTTTTGATCCACATAAATAAATAAACTAATATTATAGTAAATCATGTTTGCCATAACATTTTACGTGCAAAATGACATACTATGCTTAAAGTGTATTCAGGCAAGCGTTGATCGCGTGAGGTGTGCAGGAGTAGCTAGACATAGTCGCAACATTACGACCCCTTATCCCAGTCCAAAATTATGTTTCATTTATTGAAGCGAATAGAGATGAAATTTTGATGAAATACTTTTTAATTTATGTACTTATGTAGTATTCTAGTACTTACCGCAGGCGCCTCGTTGTCCGCATCGCAGCCCTCGCCGCCTCCACCGCGGTCATTCACAATGTCCTGAGAACAGGTGGTCAATGTTAACTAAGATGATTTACGACCGTTTCTATGGTAAATTATAAACTTTTGACTGTTAATAACACTTAACTAATTTAGTAACATGAAGATATTTATGATGGTTAGACCCTAACTTGCAAGCACAACACATATCATTTATAGTGATGACTTATATTAAATTGTAAAAAAATAAATATTAGTCTCAACAAATTAGGGTCCGATGCGATAATGGTAGATGACAATCTTTAGGAGAATCAGAATGCAGTAACTTACATGGGATCCCAAATATGCTTGGACATGTATCTGTTACTAAATGTTTCCGTACATATAAAGCTGACATTGACCACCAAAGACATGCTGACCATTGAACACTGACCATACGACACAGGGGTTTCTGCGACAAGTACTAAATCTTCATTTTCATCGAATAAAACATATAATAAAGCAGATCGTGAACATAAACTATCAATAGGCTCGCACAATAACAGTTCGTTCTCTGAGTCATCCAACAAATAGGCCACAGTGCGCGTGACGTTTTACAAAGCCATGTATTGCACATGTGAAGTGTGAACTACCGCAGATGTCATCAATTTCATAACAGATATTTCTAGTGTATTGATAACACAGTTGCAACAGGATCTATGCGTAACTATTTTATTACTGTACATATAGTGAAACACTAAAACTAATTTGAATAGTTCAAAAGCGAGCAGCAGATCAAGCCCTGGGATGCCGGATGATCATCGAAGCGTGGTATATTGATACACCTGGTAGATTAGTAGAAAAATCGATGTTCTGCGATTCGGCCTTCGCTTATAGATGTTGCTGTAATTCCTGGAATCAACAACGAGTTGCTTCGCTTCGCTTGGCTTCGAAACTTAATGATGACAGTGGTGATGATGATGATGATGACATGGTTTAATGAATACATCAATATATGGACTGATACGCCAATATAATTTCGTTGAGACCCCGTTGTATAGGGGTGATTACCGATTTGATATTTAGAAGATAATAAAAATTACTTTTTTTATTTTCGGGGAAAACCGGCTGCGGTTGCAGTAGTTTTCTTTCAACGTAAGTACGTAATTACGGTGAAGGAAAACTCGTGGGGCTGCTATAAAAAGTCTGAAATCTTCAAAAGTTTATGAACACCTTTCATATCCTTTCTGCAAGATGAAACCTACAATGAAACAGAAACATGCTGGTACAGTCCAGACCATAGGCAGGTGCGCTGAGTGGCATACAATTATTATAAATCAATATTCCATGAATCTAATATCAAATGCTTTCATGACTGGATAGATAGTAAACACATACTTATTCTGAAGTATATAACAGAACAACAATCACATAAGAGTAGGATAAATAGGAACTTTAGGAATAGTAACATAAAATACAGAGATATTTGATAGATTCATTCGTCTCTCTGCGGAGGTCCATCATTGTGGCAAGAATCTTTCTTCTTCGACACGGGAGCTAAGATGACAAGTTTCAAACTTACTCCCTAATATATGTACCATACATGGTCAACTCCTAATACTTTTTCGTATAAGATAAGGAGTTGGTCGGGCTGTGCAACAGTTACAGTATGAATTCAATTTGGGCTACCATTTTTTGCTGACCACTGGTCTGGACCTCTCGTCTATTTGTCCATTAGAGAATTAGCTAGCGTCAGACCATGAGACGTACAATTTTTGACCGCTACAATAATTGGACAAAGTAACTTATGCTAGATTAGCGCCACCTGTTGAGCAAAAAAGACGGTAGCCACCATTGCTTAGTTTGTATTGAACCCTGTGCATGTACATATATTTGCCGAAGACCGAGTTCTGCATGGGTACATTATAGAACTCGCCGTCATTTGTATTAAGGCAGGTAGGTATATCCTTATTACTTTGAAAAATTACTGTTAGCCTCATTAAATAAATGGAACACAATGCACATCCGCAGTTAGCTGGAATAAGAATCTATTTATACATATAATTAGACAATCAATCAACCACAGGGCATAAAATTGCCTTAAATTTTTGAGTACTGAAAGGTACGTTTTACAATAAAGCCAATTGTATTGATTGTTACACATTGAAGGTATAGTAGAGATTGGAAAAATAAACCAATAGAAGTACAGGTTACAATTGGCACCTGTCGTTGCCCTGGACAATATAACAGTTAAGTATTTTGTTCTACCTACGAACACCACCAAAGCACTTGGCTGTTTTGATCATACATTAATTAATTACGAGATCACACCTGACGCAGCGCGTCGACCGTCCTCACGGCGCGGCGAGGCCGGCAACTCGCCGAGCGACGGCGCGACTCCGCGGTCGCAAGGCGCGTCTCTCTGTCCGCAGCTAGTAGCGCGGGGAGTAATGTCGGCTGCCGCACGCTGCCGGCTGAGTGCCGACGGAACCGGCTTGCTCGCGATTTCCACGGTAGCCGGTCCGATGTAGAAGTATCCGATTGCATGCACGCGCATTCCACGGCATTCGTGCAGCGCTTTACATGTTTATAGAACATATAAATACGAACCATAATTTATAGCATATTCTTCTACAAAACATCACCGATTTACTTACTAATACGACATAAATAAACGTCTTGCCGTAAGCAGACAATGACAGTGTTTGTAAAAGTCAACACTTGCCAAACCACTCTCTTCAGGGGCCAAAATAGGCAATCAATCCAATTTGATTATACTCTCACCACAAGTACAACATATCTACAACACAAATATATGCACTCTAAATTCAATAAATTAGTAGATATTTCCTAATACCCTTACGTGTCACATAGCAACCTTGTACATTTCTACATCCATTATCCTGATAGTATTGACTTAGAGAATCACAACCAATATTGTGCGAAATATCGACAACAGTATCACCAGCATCAGCAGTAACCTATTCCTAGCACGAAAACAGAAAATGAACGAAAGTCAGCGTGCCAAAAGCATTTGCGATGAGAAAATAAACAAAACCTGAAGTCTAGAAATGGTCGGAAAAATAACGAAATGTTCACTTATACGTCAGAGTCTCAAGTGGACCTTGAACACAAAATAAAAAAACATGTTATGAATATTTTTTACATTTGTACAAGTTTGAAAAGATGATTAGATAATTAATTGGAAAAAATGGGAAATCATTATTATGATGTGCGTTTGAAGAAAGATGTTGATCGTTAGTAGATGAAATGAAATTGTGCGTATAATACATAATATTATGAAATGTAGGCAAAGCGTATTGAGCAGTTTCGAAAGACTTCCTGATACGTCAGGACCAAAATCCCTGCCACCTTTGTCGTAGACGCATAGGTTGTAGACAGCTACGCGTATCCAAACGTTTCATAAACGAGCATTTGGGCAATGACCAGGACCCTGATTTTGTAATATTCTTCCCGCTCGAGGGAGGAACCGTTTGTCTGTAGTTTAAGGTATTAATGTATATGGAGGTTCGTACGTCCATGTCAACGTGACCCACGCCCGTGGAGCGTCGCTTCGGCCTGCGCCGGCGTTGTATCACGTTGAGTGCTGCCTGCGTGCTCGCTGGCGACGCGTTGTTCGATGACTTGCTTTCCGTACTGCTCTCACGCTCTTTGTCTTCTTCGCCAGACGGTTCTGTGATACCAAATTATTGATTTAAAGAACTTAGCCAAATTGACTTTGTTTATAATGAGGGTGTAAAATTTTTTATCGGGTAAACACAAAATATGCATTGTTTCAAAGTGAACAAGCTAGTACATTTTAATTTAGATATCTAAATTAAAAGAGAATGGAATAAGACATATTGCACTGACCAACAATTTGGGACAAGGTAAGAACAAGAGCAGAGGATTGTAATGTCGTATCTCACCTGTCCTATTATCATCTTTAGGTGTGGAGGTGGTGGTGTTCGCGTTGGAACCAGTGGGTGGGCGACGGTACGGGAGAGTGACGGTCGCCTCAGCCGCCGTGGTGGCCGGTCGCGGCGATGACCGACCGGCGTCCTCGAGTTCAAACTGTTAATATCAAAATAAACTAGTTAATTTAAAAAAGAAATGTGCTGTTTATCAGAATACTAGCAGTTTGCTCAAAATTGGAGCAATAAGTACAGTTGGAAACACAATTACGGTTCGTCACAATTATCTATTAGTCGGAGAATAAAAAATTATAGAAAATAATTCAGTTTTAAAAAATCCATGGTAATTATCACTTTCTTTCACTGCTAGAGCGTTGTTCATACTACATTTAGGTAAATTGTAATAATCTGTACATATGCATTTAATAAAAAAACTAATCTTTAACTATAGTCTAAGTACTTAATGCTCCTGATTTGAATCAAACATTCACATGGCGATAATTTTTCTCCTTTAGGCCGTTTACACACGCTCCGGTTTCCGGGAATCGGGCGTTTAGAACCCGGCGGGGAAGTAAACAGTACATTTCACATACAGTCATCACTGGTTATACAGTAACTAACTCGGTGAAGAAGCGTGTGTAAAGGCACTTATGCTTCTCATATTGCATGCAGCTCACGCGATATGAAAACCGTGCGTTAAGCATAGAAACATATAATTTCTTGTATTCCCACAATACCCCCATTATTGCCATATGTGATGTGACACCACAAATTGTATGGCTTAAGAAAACGTAGCTGAGAATCAAATTGATTTAACTAATGTCTTAAATTATTTTTAAATATATGTAACTTATTTAACCTACCTACCATTTTAAGTAGTGTACCAAACTGCATAGTTGTCTAACTACTACTACAAAAAAAACAGCAAAATTTATAAATACGTGCGTCTACAAGCAAAGTGCGTTCAGTTTAGTTGTTTTAATAAGCATTCAAACTACATACAAATACCTACTTACATACGTTTTAACATTTACTTTAAAATCAAATGTCGATGTAGTCATTCTATGAATTAAAATAGTATTATCTGTCACTACGTAATAAGTTTTCTGCTAATAAATAAAACTTTGATAGCTTACTTTTATGTCATAACGAAAAAACTTCTTAAAATTTACACACTGGTGCAGAGGAACATACATGCAAACAGACAAATAATTGTAGATGCAACATATAGAAGATTGTAGGACAAATAACACAGTTATTGGACTTTTCCTTTGCACACTCATATGTATAATCAGCAAAATTATTTAGTTTACAGGGAAGGAAATATAGATTGATTCAGTACAGAGACTGGTTGGCTTCTGTGGCAACTGAACCAACCTATGGATACAAGAGAAATGGTTTTGTTAAAAAGTATATAATTTATAGTATGGCATCAGCTACTACTGTCTGTATATTTAAGTACAGAATCAATTTGAATTTTCTTTCCTGCATATCAATTTAGCTGATTATACAGGTAATAAAAAAATTGAGCTATTGCCCAAAAAATGTATGTATCCTTTTCAATTCATTAGACGCTTCGATTACAAGTCCAATAACTGTGCAAAACGTAATTTGTTCAAAAGAAATCACATATACTACACATTGAACGGTGCACGAAACAATAAAGGCTACCGTTTTTGCGCGCACTAGATGGCGCTAACAGTGCATTGGCGCCATCTAAGGCACGCAAAACGCGTGAGGTTGTATACAACTATTGTACGAACAATCACGGTAGCTGTCAGATATTGACTGTCGAACAGTTTACACTGGAAAACGATTTGATATATTGGAGAAACAAGACCTCACGCTAAATTAGGATCAATTAGGGAGTGAAAAACGATAGCCTTATTCGATAGAGATGCAACGAACGAACAAATTCTGATGTTGGGATAATGACACTGAAACACAATGACATATGACAATGGTAATGTCTTATTGTATATGTTATGTCAATGTCAAAATTTAAACTGACTACTGCTACGGACTTTCAGGACGCACCAACCAAAACCGGGACTGTTACAGTTGCAATCAAGAATTGAATTCTTATTTCAAATGTTATTAGTTACTTGTCAAATGAGATCAATTTGTTAATATTTAGATTGGTTGCAAGGTGACATTCGTGACACGAGCGTAGCAGTCAGAGGGTTAAATGTATTATTTACACTTTAATACAGATTTGAATTATAATTTGGCTCTCTTCCTCATAAGTAAGAAATCGTCATCGACAAAAATTCAATTTAGTCCCAAAATCAGAATTGTATCATCGTACTTAGTGCGAAAAATAATTTACTTCCACACCATGCGCGTCCCACCCAACGACTGAATCGAACAAGATTGTCTATACTTATGACTGGTCTATAATGACTAAGGCGACTAGAGTTTAGGTAGGTACTATTTGATCTTCAATCTTAGTTTCCAAATATAATAATTCAATTTAATTCTAGACATTTTTGATAACTGTATCAAAATAATAACATACAATAAATACTGTAATGGAGCAGGAAATAAGTCCACGCTGACATACTAAATGATCTAAGAAATCACAACGTACGCTGAAGACAAGACAAATATAAAAAACTAATAATTTAGCAAATAAAAAATGTAAAGCTAATAACTTCATGTTGACCAATGAATTAATAAAAAGTATGGCGATAACTTGGGTTGGCCTTCATCATAGACTACAGGACCTTTTACATATGACGGGAAATGCGTCGCGTATCATCGGCCAGATACACAAATATATTCAACTTTTCACATCTAACCGATGCGTTAATGCGTCGAGCGTACACCGTTGATACGCTTTACACGCATTTTCCGTAAGATGTGAAAGGTGTGTATGGACAATCTTGTTCGATGGTCGCTATGGTATAGCCACCTTGTTAGTGGGGTCGAGCCTGAGCCGCCACGAGGGACGGCGCTCGCTGTTGGCAGCGATGGTGGCCGTTGCCGTCGCCGACGCGCACGCCAGAGCTAACGACACCGCCACGTCGCCGGCCGGAGTCGACGAGCGCGCCTATACAATATACATACCCCACAAATCAATACTCTACAATCCATTCAAAATTATCCAATTTTAACTGTTTTGAATGCCCCCATTTACAATAAAAAAACGTAATAATAATTATTATTGTTTATTTTAAATTTTTTTGGACTTTTTCAAGTTTAATAGTTTGTTTGAGAAATTCTATTATTTTATGAGAATCGTGACATGAACCGAATGGCCATATAAACACAGGGCGACATGAAAAGCACACATTGGTCACAATGAGTTTTGATACAAAAATTATAAATAAAAAAGAACTCAAAAAATACAAACTCAACGTATATACAAGTACTGCAGAACCAGTGTAATTTTATGCGGACATTTTATTCCGTACTTTTGTTCCTCATCTAAAGATTTGACATTGTAGACCAATTTGACACAATATGATACTCAACTCGCGACTGGTCAATCAGTTTAATTTATAATAATTTACAGAAAACTAATACAAAATGGCCCAATTTAGGAAACTCAAATTACACTAGTCTGTCTAGATACTGTTCAACTATTGGTGAACACCTAATGAAATATTGTGACAAAATCATTCAAAAAATCTAATAGAAGAACTATTCAGAAACTATTTTAAGTGTTAAACTTTTTTCTAAAGTAAGCATATTCCCGTTTACCGATTAGTCACTTTGGAAGCAATTTTTTGTAATATCATATTTTTAGTATTCCTTACTACCCTGTTGCTACTGTGTACTTAGAGTAGTGGAACTATGATGTTAGGTGGGAGGTTAGTGTGTGACGTACCGAGCCGTTGTCTGTAGGTGGTGGCGCGGGAGTAGGTGTGGGCTCTTCTTTCTTCTGGCTGCCCGGTGAGGGGCTCTCTGTGGTCCCATTACCGGCTTTCTTCTTGACAAGCTGTTCTGCGGACTTGATCTCATCGAGTGTGACGCCCTGCGTGGAGCGTCGCGTTTCACGCACTCTTTTCGCGTGAGCTTTCCTTTGAGTTTCACTCTCCTCATCTCGAACCGGGGGCACAAACGACCTGTATAGATAATCGTTTCAGACTGGCATTCTTTACACCCCCTACATTTTTACAAAAGAAGCAAATCAATAACAATTATTGCCAATGCTTTTCTCAAAGTCTGTTAGACATGCAACACGTCTAAATAAAATATCAAACTTGTCATGCTTGATATTGAAACCATATTATTATGATTACTAAAACGCAAATAAAATCGTCCGAGCACAAACAGACGAAGCGCAAATGATAATAACTAACACACAGAAAACCGGAATTGCTTGAACACGAGAACTGTTTTGGTAAGAAACTAGAACTATGAACTGAAATTAAAAAAACAACATAAAACGTAGCTTATAAAACTAATTTCTGATACTCGGTTAAACCTTTTTTACCTATACTATTTGTAATAAAAAAGATCTTAAGTATAAGTGAATAAGGTCGCAATTCTCGTGTCCAAGTATTGACAAAACATCGCGGTTACTTGAAGAAGTTCTTGAATATGTTCCCAGGCGACAATTTGGTGGGCGTAGCGGAGCTGGGTGACGTATTGCTACTGTTCGACTCTACGCTCTCCGCGGAACTGTTCACATAATACCAAACTTTGTATAGTATGGATATGGATACCAATAATGTGTTGAAAAGTATGGAAATCAGTTCCAATATCGGGAATGGTTTTTCAATCATAATACATGTTTTTTCTATCAATTCTTCTTATCGATTTTCTATACTTGTTTCTAAGACAAACACGATTTACCTAACACGGTCACACTGCTATCTACATGTGGAATGTTTATCGAATCACTAAAATACTTCAAAGTACAAATTAGATTACATTGTGATTTCATTCTTTTAAAATATGGCAGTAAAATTCTTGAAACGATTTCGCCTTTATTGCATGTTCACAGAAAAATAAACTTTTTATCTATTTAGATAAGCTTGATTTCTTTTTCAAGAATTCTCTCCACGTGTGTAATATTGTGTGTAAAAGCCTGTATTAATATTATCGTACCTTCTGACTGTCGTTGTGGTGGTGGTGTTGGTCGGACTCGCACTTGGCGTGGTAGTGGTCGGGCCGCTCCACGTGTTCACTTCCCTTTCCCGTCTATCCGAAGGGTTTATTCTAATACAATACAAAATATCGATATAATACCAAACACATCTTAGAATACAGGGGCCAGCAGTTCAAGTTTCTTTTCGATTTTCCATATAAAATTTAAAATCCCATTAAAAAACTGTCAGATTGACCCACGTTGACCTGCCGGTCGCTGTACAACTGTACATACTGATTCAGCAATGTATGTTTGTGTAGAAATTTACTGTAAAGCTGACTATATCAAAATACATATAAAGGCAATTTAAATAAACTAAATAGTCCAAATCCACATCCTATCATAATTTTTAAGTATTAAGTATTTTTTACCATACATAAATTTCAGTAGGTACTTAGTGAGTCGTGTAATAAAATTCGTACATATATACATATAAGCACTAACATATACATACACATAGAACAACAACGATAAGCATACATAGCGAGACATAAATAACAGTTATTGTGATGAATATTAAATATTCATGTAAGGACATGAATACATGAATAGTATCGATCAGTGTGGTTCGATTCTAAGGACAACTATCATCATTTTATATGACACTATTTTATATAAGCCCCGATTTTTTGAATCCATTGGGCTTCGAGTACCAACATTATGCTATCCTCGAAATAAATTCTATTAACTTGGCTTTAAGGTCTAAAGTGGTAGTAAAGGTAGTGCCAGAAGCGAACCACATCGATCTCGAACAGATATAAACGAGCACCTTGTTTGTACATCGTCGTTATTACTCTCTGTAGCATTGTTAGTGTGCTCTGGAATTTTTTTCCTCTCCGTTGGTGGCTGCGCCGGCGGTATTGAAGGACAGGAGGACGCCTTTATACGTGCGGTCACGTCTCGATACCGCTGGTAGAAGCTACAATGCACACAAGCATGCGACATGTACGTAGCGTAGGCGATGTTAAAGGCCTGTTTCACATGTCTAAATAGCCGCAACATACTCTAATATAAGAGTTTTGTTCGAACGCGCTAATCTCTGTAACTACTGTTACGACACAAATAATTATTTTTGTGATGAATAGTCAATTTATCAAGGAAGGAAAGAAGTTATAAAACAATCCGCTGCGATCAATAGGACCTGAGCAGCGGAACATATCGTGGTGGAGTTTGATTATATATAAAATGTAATTTGTATAAACATAAGTTAATTGGGTACTTATATGAATGTGGTGAAACAGGCCCTTAATGTTATAAACAACATGTCGAAGAAACGAACAAGTCTGCCAAAAGCCAAGTGAATTGTTTGGTAAAAGTGTATTGTGACTGTTATTTGTCCTAATTGGAAGGATTCATACAAAAAACTAATATTTTTTTTGTAACTTTATGCATATTATATTGATAAATATCGTTAAAACTGATACTTATCTCTCACTCACTTGTATAGCAAGATGAGATCTCAAACCCATGGAGGTTCTTTAAATATTTAAGAAAACATATATTTCATATCAACAAACGGGTTTAAAAGTTATTGCTAAACAATAAGTAAATATAGGACATAAAAGTGTGATTACATTTATTTAGGATGCCTTAGAAAAGATTCATGAACATTCGTTTTGTAAACAACCACCATACACTGTTGCCATGTTATATTTTACATCATGTATTTTAGTCTTTTTATTTTGCAATTAAATTAAATTTTATCAATTATCATTTGTGTCCAATTGAAAAGAAAAATTAATGTCTTTTTAGCAGTTACTTGTTAGCACATTGTTAAACGTTATTTTTTATTGTTGGTTAGTGCTAGCATGCATTGGCGTACTTGCTTGAAGTCATATAACGTAATAGAATCAATAGAAAGACAAATAACATGTGTTCTTGAAATAAAATAAATTGAATGACAAGTGCATGGACCTGAATATGTAGAGAACCGATATTAAAATTGTTGAAAAACGTAAAATTACACGAATTAAGAAGTAAAGGTCCCCTTTTTGTTACCCTTCCCCTGTAGCACGTTAAAGATTCCCAAAACGCCACATAACATCAAAGCACGCCAATCTCAATGCCAGTGCTAACCACAAACCCTTGAACAAGATTTAAGAAAAAGCTTAAAACATTTCATAAAGAATTGTGAGCAACATAATAGAAAACATGTATTGCAAAATAATATAAGCAGAAACTGTTTTGACAAATATCAACTTTCTATTGATCATTAAAGACATTTGACATTAAGGTTAGGAACAAATACAGTGAAAATAAGGTGACCCACACGAATGTGCAAAGAAAAATTAATAAATGTGCCTCTGGGTGGAATAGTGTCTAGGATAGGAGACAGTTGTATTTTGATGGTTGGTCAATTTAAATAATCTTTCATATAAAATGTGTCAGTTAAAATAACAGTGACTTAATCGTCAGTAATAAAACAGGTCCTAAATTCATTATAGTAATAACTTGTTTCACAAGTCAATTGACCGAAATATCTTTTTCCTTTTATTTTAGAGCCTATATAATCTATATATAGACCCTATCTATTATCCTATCCAAAGGTAAGGCACGACCTTCAACCGGCCGCTTCTAGTTGAAAGCTTTCTTAGATTACTCACAATGCTCTAACAATGTTTATATTTTAATCGATATTTTAGTTGTCATGCCAAAATTTTAACGGAACAATTCACTTTGTACAGAGTTACTTTAACATTGCACAACAGTTTACTTTGTGTAGACGTTCAATAAAAATAAAACCTGGCTGTCTGCCATTTGAGACATACTACATACGATTTAGTATACAGTATTTCGACTTGAGATTTTAAAAAGCATATAAATTGATTAAAATGTCTGACTTCGACTGAAATGTTGCTTTTACATTGATTCAATAGCGACCAATCAAGATGGTGGAGCTTTTTGTAGTGACAGCTGTGCTTATGTGCTTCAAACAAGAATATTTTATCATTTTTATTTGAAGCTTTATTATGCACTTACTGTTTTATATTTCTACAGAACGTCTTGTAAAATAAATTGTACAATGTTAATGAAGTAGTGATGAAACGAGTTACATCTAACAAATACCTCTTATCATTTTCAAAGCTGTGTGTTCGTCTCAGTATGGTGTCGTTATCGACTGCATTGTTGACCGTCTTGCTACTTTCCCCTGAAAATATAAAATGAACAATCAATAAGATGGTTTTAGAAATAAACGTATTTTATATCTACTATTTACACAATCTAGCTATAAAACTAGAGCAATATAGTACATGGCAGCTCCTCATGTAGTAAAACCTTATCTTTTCATTAATTTGTTATCAACAGCCATATTCCATAAATAAATACGGTATATGAAAGTTAAACCTACTAATCCTGAAAGTGCGATCAATATAATAGTAAGATAAAATAATAATGAACACTTAAACAAAAGCAATACCTTACATGCATTGATCAAACTTTAAGAAATCGGGTGTGTATCCCCACGACTATACTCTGCTTGTCTTACAAATGTATGGGAACGATAAATGTGGTCAAACCGTGAATTAAACATAGTGATCGGATGGCTATGTACAATATGATACAAAATAAGAGTTTAGCAGTCCAAAGCCCCGGTACTTACTGGTCGGTTCAGGTTGCCTGTTACGGAATGAGGCAGATCTGCGCCATGACGGCGCGTCTTCTGGCGACGATTCTATTTCTGTGGTTTCTGGCGAAGGCGGCCTGCCTCGAGGCGGCTTGCCCTCCGTCTTAGCAATCTCAGGCGATGCCGGCGGCTTGTCTGTCGTGAATGATGATGAATGAGTGATAGGTTTGAACAACATTTCTAAAACTATCAATTCGACATTACATTATTTGATACTTTATCCATTTTGGTACTAAAATTGAGATATGTTGTCCAAACCCGAAGGCAATATGAAGTTAAATGTGACCTCGGCCAGTTGATCGGGCGAGTGGCTGTTAGCACAACAAACACTCATACCAGTAACAACAACAATTACGACATAATATAGCAAATAACAAGCTCGTTTCACAAATTACTGTCTCAGTAACTTCTGTGTCAAATGAAGGTAAAATAAATATCATGATTTAATGAACAAAAATAATTTCTTGTAGAACAATTTTGTGAAAGAATCATGTTATTTACGTACATTTAAAAGTATGTAGGGAGCGTGATTACCATTATCGTTATGTACAGAATGTATTTGGCTTACACATATTTCGACTATTCTCATATAAGCTAGACTGCTAGAGTAAGACCCGAAGCAGCGTCGCAGACTACCCGAAGCATTTTATGACTGCATCACATATACGGGACAAAAAGCTACATAGTACATTATGTACATGTTCTGTAGAACCACCTTCTAGAACCAGGATTTATGTGTAAAGAGAGGTAATAGTATCATATATTTAATAGCAATTACGATAGATGTTCTAGGTGTCGTTTCATTGACAAGAAAAGATCAAACACATTACATATAAATCCAAGTTGTTAATGAGTTAAGCTTACCATGACATACATGACACACATCACAGTGGACACAAACTGAGTCTAAAGTCTATGTCTAAACATCCTAAAGCAAGTTTCATCATGAAAGATAACATGGTCAAAGTCAATTGTTAAAGGCATCCAAATTCAAGGCATTTCCACTTGTGAATTTATCGGCAGGTATTTTACCAGGCTTGTGAATACAAATCAAGGGTTTAAAAATGACACAGGTATTTCATCGCTGTTTAACAAATAGTAGTAGTCTAAAATCTCGCTCAATGAAACTTGCGATTGGATATTGAATATTAATTACAACTACAACATGAATAAGAATAAACAATGAAGCCACCTGTAGTCTTACCGTTGACGACTTTCTCTGGTTGCGCGTTGATCTCGATGTCGACTCGCTTAGCGTCATGTTGTGGCGGGCTGCGCTTGCGTTTGTTATTGTTGTTGTTCATGCGACGCTGCGCATTCATCGCGTCAGCCAGCCAAGACGTCATCGCCGGATCGACGAGGTCCATGCAGGTTTGGCCCTGAAAGTAAAATGCATGGTCCATTAATCAAATAAGAAAGTCAATATAAGAATTTTTTTCTTAATCGAAAATATCTATAACATAGAAGTTTTAAACTAAAGGAAAATAGAAACGAGTTGCTAAACATCTAATAAATGTGAATAAACTTACTGAATAGTTCTTGATAAGTGGGTCGGCTCCGTATTGGAGTAGTAACGCGGCTGCTTCTTTCTGTCCCCAGAGAGCAGCCGCGTGGAGTGGCGTCCAACCTTCATAGTCAACACAGTCTGGATCAGCGCTGCACCCCTCTAGCAGAGTAAGAGCCACCTAAGAAATAAGTAAGTATAAATATTACATAAAGATTGATTGTACTATAAACATTTGACAGTTCAAAATATCGACTATCTCGCTGGTGGATTGATTTCAAATTAGGGAAGACTAAATCATTATCGGACGCTTATAGTAAATTTTCTGGTATCCATGGCGTCAGGAATTGCGTCCGGTGTATGGGAATAGATTTTCCCCAGATTCCAAGGTACTAATAGCATGACTAGTGAAATGGTAGATATGGTAGACACAGGGGCCTGTGTATATTATGTGCCTCTGTTCGCTTACAAATGACCTACCCTGTCAGCGATCACAACAGGGCGGGGTGACGTTAAATTACATTTGCGATGTTATTACAGTAACTTGTTATGCTAGTATACAGTATCTTTAATAAGCAACACAGAGCCTGAGTTATTAGCCATTATTTAGCAATAAACGTACTCGTCCTTTTACCATGACAATAGTAACATAACAGACTCATCCTAAATTATCGTACATATATGGAAAATTGTTTCATCAGTCTATGAATGCGTGTTTAAACATAATATCAAATCTAATTATACTGTTTTTACACAATAAAAAGGATTTGTTATTTGCTTTGGTCACGGTATCACGCAAAATTGTAGAAGTTATATAGATATTTTTCTTTGTTATTATTGACACACACCGGTGACCGAAGTTAGTAGAGGATTTGCCTTCAACAGCTTTGTATTGGTAGACGCACTTAAGAGACCAGGCAGCAGCGCTCCCTGACCAACCTGAATTTGTTAAACTGCCCTCCTCTCAAGCTTATGGTAACTCCTTTTTTGTGTTAAGCAACCATCTTGCTTCGGTCCATAGTTCAGCAGTGAACTGTCCCAGGCTGTTTCAGATGTTGTATTGCGAAAAATGGTTTTACGAGTTTTGAAATTTAAGTCGATTTGGGGTGGGTCACTAATTAAATACATTTATACATTGTACTATCTCTCTATCACATCCATTCCACATATCTGGGGGTCATGGTCAGCCTAAAGCTAGCGCTAAGCAGAAGCTTAGCGCATCTCCTACTACCATGTAGAATTTAGAGATTGATAAGTCTTTTATTTGATTGTGATCTTTTTCCTAAGGAACGTCGACATCGATATGGGACCTTATGTCGAAGTACCTTAGGTAGGAAGTTTTTCAAAAATTCTTTGGAAAGGTTCTTATTATAACTTACATCGATGTATCCTTTAGCTGCCGCAACATGGAGCGGGGTTCCTCCGTTCATGTCTCTGACCTCAACATAGCCGTTAGCTGCCCAATTGCGAGCGTCACTCAGCAGTGTGTCCACCTCAGCACTGCGGGATTTGTCGCAGTCCACGCCTGAGAAATAAAGGGGCATATGTTATATATTACATCTGTTATCACCTCTGCTCTTCCCACAGGAGTCGTAAGAACCGACTAAGGGACTATTCCCTTAGAGAGACATTGGATTTCCATTGTATGGTCCCACACTATTTTCTCCCAATGTAATCAACAGATGTATCGTAGTGGGATAAGTATCTAACTATAAACAATTATTATTTGAATAATACGATTTAGGTGATTGTTTTCATTACGTCATTTCAAACTGAGACGCGACTGCGACTAATGGTTGATTTAACAATGGACCGTTTTGGACTTAAAAGAGACGATATGTAATAATAGATTTTTAAATAATGGTGACATAATAAAAATTACATATGCGTGTTGATGTAACTAAAATAAACATGTTTAGTACGGACCTTTCTCATCGATGACCTTTTGCAGCAACTCTGCCATTTCATCGCTTTCTGCGATGTCCACGGGCAGTTCTCCATCGTAATTCACTGCGGCAACGTCCGCGCCGTTTTCTAACAGGTACCTGAAGAAAAAGAATAAATCGCATTGTTATTATGGAAACTATAAGAACATTTCTATAACCTAAATACAAATATCGGAAAATAACACCTTATTAAAAGTTGGTAAATAAGGGCAGATTAAGTTACTGCATACAATACTGAGTCAAATGTAAAGATAGAGATAATAAACAATTAATTTCAGTTTGTATGTCGCATAATGATGTATTATATCATACAATCTACCCCATCATAACTGCGAGAGATACCCAGATATTGCTGCCAAGAATATCATTCAAGTACATCGCAAAAATATTCGAGAAGTCGATTTGGTAGTAACCTTTGATGGGTACACGTAACATTATAAATAAATACTACGCAAATAATTTCGTAGGTGGTTCCTATATTTAAATGTGTAGTAACATAAATTCTTCTCTATCGTCAAACGTGGTATAAAAGCTTGTCTTTCATTTTGCTCTGGAAGTAAGTTCTTCGAAAAACCAGAAATGTTTTTGTACGTAGAACTGTGCTTTGTGATTCAAAAATTCAATAAATAAATGAATAATTAAATTTTTTATTAAATTTGAATTGTGGGTATTCCACACACGGAGAAGGTTTAAGCATTAATCACCACGCTTACTCAATGCGGGTTGGCGATTTTAAACTTATAATTAGAAATTATAAGCCCAGGTTCATCAATTTATTACAGAAGATACGAGTTTTTGGCACGGAAGGGCGCAATTTGTAGGTCTAATACTTTTGCCTTCTACACTTTAAAGAACCTAAGGTTGTATGCCACATACATCTTGATCAATTTTAATACTAATAAAAATCAGCGTTACTTGTAGGTTCATAGATCCATATCTCAAAAGAAACTTCGTTAGCATTGTAATTTGTTTGTTAATACTATAATATATTATTGTATTAGTATAGTGTTTAGTTCGAAATAATCAACAGGAAAATGTAACAATATTTTCTGAGAAGATGGTACATTATACTTAAAATGCTTTCAGTGTTATTCCGTCTAATCATTGACAAGTATGGCACCATGATCGAAAAAGGTTTTGACTTCAAAATAACTGCCAATAAAATGGATGAACGGACAGATCAAAATGTATTATTATGAATATTTTCTGCAAGCTTGTCTTATCAACAGTAGTGATTTTCTTTTCCGTAATAAGGGGCTGTTGTTGCGGAAGAAATGTATATATTTTAACATAAAATACGGAAACCGAACAAATCAATTTAAGTATCAAACCGACAGAACACTTTAAATTGCAAACAAAACGTAACGAATAAAAACGAAAGTACAATACTTATTTACAACAGAGTATTTAACGTAATATGACCATATTAGTAAATAAAAAAGCCTATGAATAATTTACTACTATATGTTATCATTTATTAACTTAATAGAATGAATAGTGTCGTTCACAGAAAACCCTGTGCCTATTGGGTCAGTGTGACTCAACCTTTGTTTACAGCCGCCTATCATGTGTGGTACGCTGCGTCAATGTTGCGTTATTCATCACATTATGACACAAATAAGTAATGATTGATTGTTAGGAAACTCAGGAGAGTACCGTGGAACTCTACATAGTCTTAGATAATTCTGAAGTGACATAAGCATATCATATCTCTTTAATTACTGAATTACCTAAACAAAATTGATGACGCTTCACAAATAATCGAAATCGCTTGCACGCTAGGAACTATTGAAATCGCTTATGAATGCACTTGATGAAATGGATAGCATTGTGCAATGACAAAATCCTGCATGTAGCGACATTCAAAAATACAATGGACTTAGATCAACTTGCGCGACAGCTCACCAAAGATAATTATTAGTAATTCATAACGATGTTTTAGATGAGTCCAAAATATTATTATTTTTATTGAGATGTCGTGCAAGTCATTCATTCTTACTGTTTACCTAGCTATGCTGAGAAATCCACAAGACGCAGTGGCATGCAGCGGAGTCCAGCCTTCGTTGTCCCCGCGGTTGACGTCAGCGCCGTGCGTCACGAGAAACTCCACCATGTCCAAGTTGTCGTCTATGCACGCCTGAAATAAACATATCGAGGTTTTGTGTAAAACATTTAATAATTATATTTACTCCTAGTTATTAAATATATCGTAGGTACTGTCGTATCTAGGTATGTAGATTATTAAATGGTGCTGTATCGATTTTTACCGACTTCTCTTGCACCCTAATCAATGATATGTGTAATCTACCCTATTGTATTCGATTCGTGTATATCGGTCACATCACTCAGAACGAATTTGAAGTAGTGTAATATTGCTAAAAATATTTGTTAGATACATATCGCAGAGCTGTAGACTTTATAAAAAAAAGTTGTAACTTATATTAGCAGGACATTTTAGAATTAGAAGGGTAATGTTTTTGTACGAAGATGGCGGGTTACACAAGTTCCCAGGGTCAGTAAGGCCACGATTTGTTTCTCTAAGGTTAAGATCTCTAACTGTTTTTACGGGACAGTAAGCACCCTTCCTTAGTTTTATTCAAATGAGTATTCTTCACACGACGTAAAATCACATTTATCATCAAGTTCAGCACAGCAAGTACAAAGTGATTTATTCAATAACAGTAATTGCATAGGTATCGCTAGCTCTTCAAACTTCGCTAAAAAAGTGCACAGCAAGTAGATCTAATATGTGGTCTAGAATTATTATCATAAGCCCAAAAAGCCATTTACTTGATGAATAAACAGTAACACACAGCATAACACAATTGAAACAGTTTCAATACATTTGCATGAATTTAAAACAGGTAACCGTTGCATGAATACGTTTCAGATAATTGAAGTCATATCCGATACGATACAGTTTTACAAACCACGTATATATGGTTACTAGTCCTATAAATATCAACAGTTTAGGGAATTGTAAAATTTACAGTTCAAATCAGTTCGAAACAATAAAATAGCAATGAATACTTCCATAAAACTCAGCGTAAAACTTCATGAAATGCAGTATTTTTGTTTTATTTTGAACTTTATTAAACGGTCGAATTAAATTCATTAAACTAATTACCTGTGCAATATATTTGAGTAGAAAGTCGATAAAAGCATTTTATAGAAGTAGATTGATAGTCGCATAAAAGCATAAATCACAACAGGTATATAGGTAGATATCTGATATGGCGAAATTGCAATTGCAGGCATTGCATTTAATAGACATTAATTTCGCTGTTAAGACTCCATATTGCGTATAAATAATTTTAACTGTTGAATTTCTTATTTATTACTATGGCCGCTTTTAATTAATTTCTTAAGTCTGCTCTTTTTATTTCTTACAATTTCTACAGCTAGCAGCTCAGTAATAAGGTACGAGTAATGTTGTCCTGAAAACAACTTGGAAGTTTAATAGGTTCGTACAGCAACACGTAATGTTAGCGTTAAGTGAATCTCTATGTGCATCAGTTCGGAACCAGTGCAGGGTCAGTGCCGTGGTCACTGGCGCATGCAGTACCGGACCGACGAGCTCGCTGCCGGAGGATGAAATGGCATTAAGAAAAAACTTTGCTTAGGGGTTGGAGCTACGAACCATAAACTATACCTGCCATAAGTAAAGAAATTATCAATACACTTTAACAATTAATATTTTTATTCCCTATAATAAATTAATTTTACATTGAACCTTTTATAATTGAATCGCACAGCTATGATGATAATTTTTACGTAGAGCTGGTTCAAGTTTTTGACATTTATGCCTCATAAAACATGTCAACTCTTGGCATACCAAAGAGAGTTATTAGCACAAGAGAGCTGATACAATTACTGTCGTATACCCAGATTAAAAACTTTAAAAATAACTAAGAGCACAGCTGATGTAACTACATTGTCGTCGGGTTTTGTTTTCAAATACACTCAATGAACCTGCTACTTGAATCACGTACCGATTGTTGATAAAAGACACTACTTATGTTTAACTAGCAAGAGAAAAATGTTTACTTCTACCGAAAATCCCCTTATATTCTCTTTAATTTGATAATGGTACTAAACTTTATCTTTTAACCATCCCAATTGGCAAAGAATTCCTTGTAGCTCTAGAACCTAGACAGTACATATAGGTACATAACATCAACCAAAAACAAATACCTAAAAAGTAAATAATTGTAAATAAATACGAATATTCGCTACAGCAATAGAAATATATATTCGCCTTTAGACGAGAATAATAGGACGATCAATCGATACACAGTTGTTTCGATACAGGAGTACAAGTATTGTCATAGTAAGGGGTGATACATAATTGATAATGGATATCGATGTGGGCATCTCATTATCTGAGCACTCCGGATGTGACCGATATTCGAGTCGAGTACGCGCACCGTACAGTGCAATTAGCTTTTCATTATGTAATTGTTTTAATGAGCACTTTTGTATCGGTCCACAATGGAAGGACTGACATGATATGAACAATAATGAGGATATATATTATTTGTATAGAACACTGGGCTTTTATATGGAAATGTTATAAACAGAAATGAATGCAACAGATTGCGTACTACACTTGTGTCATGTAGGTACTTCGAGATATGTTAATAAAATTAACCGGTCTATTTACCGGTACCTACGTATATGTATAAACCATTATCAATATTACTAATTACAGATGAAAGCGATAATATCATGCATCGTATCTAACTAAAGCAAATATTGTTTTGTTACCGACTGGCTCCATGGAATTATACGAGTGACTTATTAAAAAAGTCATTGTTACATTCTTTTAACACTTAATACATGTATAGTTTAACCCTCAAAAGAAAATAAAGATAAGTATGGTTTGTGTATTTACATAAAATAAAATAAAATATAAAACGACTAAAGTATTGTAAATACTATTTTATCATTGCGCACCGTATTGGTGTACCTGCATGTATAAAAACTGCTGATAGCTATATTTGAGGTCATAGACTTCTATGACGAGAAAGCAGGTTTGCTATTGGTTATTTGTTACAACCTCTAACACAATATTTGTTAAATAAAATGATGATTTTTAGTAAAACGGATCTCCAATCAAACGGTATATGATTAAAATGCTAATATCGTTATATAAATCTAAAACCAGAAATACAACAATTAATTATATTGAACACCTCGTCGATAAATGTTCTTTGTATGCATTCGGATTCAGAATAAATGGACATAAAACCTTAAATAGGTGTTACGGCGTAAAACATACGTGCTCACTACCAATTAGGGCCAATGTTATTGGCCACATAGTTTGACAATTTCGGTAATTGTAATTTTGTCATGTCTGCTACAAAACTCACAGCAAAGACTATTAAAAGGTTTGCATTTTCTTGACTATTTTGTAATACTATAATATTCGACTTTTAACAAACTATATAGTAATTCATTGAATTACAATTGCAGCATTTATAAATAAGTTAGCGAAATTAATAAATAATAAAATTAATGTTAAATATTAATTTGTAATACTGACATCATCACAATGCGTCCACTGTCTAAAGTCAGTCATCTCTCTAGGTACAAACAACATAAATATAGTCATGATTCATCACATGACAGGACCCATTAAATAAGAATTAAAATAGAAATAATCTGTCGTAAAAATTCTCAAGAGTCATCCGTTTGTAACTGTTCATAGAGTTTGATTTTACGTACAAAATGCAGTCGAGATTAAATTCCTCTTCCGAGATAAGAGTAATAAACCAACATCATTAGGTATCGGATGGTTGATAGTACACAGGCGGCCACCATTTCAATCACAGTCATGAGTTCAACTCTTTGCCAAAAAATTTAGCTCAAGTTCCAATACCACCAAAGTCAATATAAAAAAATCGTCGCGTGCGCAACCTGTGACGTAATTTAACTCCAATATCAACGAATCTGTCTCTGAAGTGACCTCGAAATTAAATTTTCTCGTCCAATTCTAAAATAACGCGGCGCTATGTCATTCAGTTACTAACGTCATACCCCCTGAAAATTTGGGTCGGTCAATGACAGCGCTGAACAAGAATTGTATCTAGACAGCTAGCTACCTATCTAAAAACTAGGTCAATAAATAGAGCAACAATATTATACCAGGCAAACGAATGCTTATTTTTTTTACAAAAAATACAGCCACCGAATTCGCTATTTTAAATCAAATTGTCTTGATAAGCAAAGGCAGTAGATAGCATCTACATGCAGAATCGGTGGCAACGAGTCATCGACCTAATTTCCTGGACTATCTAACGAGATGACTATCGCACACTATTAATACCGGGTGTTATGTTAGACGTATAGAGAAGACAAAACGCATCCGCGATCAGACGCTGCCAAAATAATAATTCATTGGACTAGATGGCAATAACAGATAGCGCACTGTTTACAATTACAATAAATAAAGCAACCATAGGCATAATGGCCCTTGAACATCCTCACGTGATCCACCATATTTGTTTCAGTTAGAATATTTATAACGCAATATACTTATATTATTTCAAAATAGGTTACGATGTTATTGTTATGTGAAACGGATCGATCGACCAATAAAATGTGACGTAGGAAAAATCAGTACGAAGCTATATTTAAACGCACATAGTTTATTTTATGTCGTGTAATCAATATGAAGAATTCATCTGATGAATGTGAAATATTTTAAGTGAAAGAAAAACGCCACTCTAGGCAAATAAACGTGCCAAATTGTGTTCCGATCTAGACTGGCAGCAGACTCGCCCATTTCCACCTTGATAAAATTATTAAGCTCTGTGGATAGCAAAATAGTATCGTAGACAATAATTATAACAGTGACGTAATAGGTAATCGACATACTACACTACACCGGCTTCTCCGTTCGGACGGTGAGAGATTGATGAATATTAATACGCACAGACTCGGTGCCGTCCAGTTACAAAACAAGATGCTTCTTTGCGAGTCAGTTGAAGCTAATGCGCCATGCAGAAGTTAAAGTGTTAGAATCGAAAACATCGAAGTTCACTCTAAAATACCGTGCAAATTCAATACATTAAACTCGTTGTAATTTCAACATAATGCACCTATGACATAAAATTCATAAAATAAATTCGAAAA